CCCTTTCGTCACACCCACATCATTTGTTTTGTACGATGGAGTATTAGGGCCACGCAACCAGACTTTTATTTAAATTATGAATATAAAGTCATATTACGAGATTAAAGTCATAATATGTGAAAAAAGTCATAATTTACATGATGTCCATTTTTCCATCCTGATTTTTTTCTCATTTCCTTATCCTTTTCCACGATATGATTACAATTTTACTCTCGTAATATGAAAAGTTTATTCTCATAATAAAAAAAAAACTAAAAAATGTTGTGCGGCTCTAATACTCTGTATCTGAACAGGTATTTTTATTCTGACTCGTAGTTTCTGCAGAGTAACAACATTTTGAGGCTAATTTTTCAGTGTGTGTTTTTCTCTGCCTCGCATTAATTTGGGCAGTCAGGGAGTGAGAGACGYCAGTGTTCATGCTGACCAACTGGTGGCTGCTTCAACTTTTCTTTTGATAACTTTTTTGAACAGTTCTTATTTTAAAATGTTGGCATTAGAAAATTACAAAGTTTTACTGGCATTTTAGACTACTTCAGATGTTTTCAAGCTTTTTATAAGGTTGTGTGATTTGTRTTCATGATACAGAAAACATCTGTTCAAACCACTGGAAGAATTGTTTCATGCTCAACCTGTTCTGGTGACTCACAGTCCAGACTCAATCTGTGGTCTAACCCCAGTCTTTACCTGAGCTGTATTTAAGATGTGGGAAGTGCCATCTATTGAAGCAAAAAAAATCCTGATAACAACAAAACATGGGCTCCAWATAAGAACTTATCATAAACTGTTCATCAAATCATGGGTTCCTTTTAAAATAACTGTGAACTTTAGAAAACTGTACAATATCAGTACTGTCGCTCTGCAAACAAACATGGTAAAAAATATAGAGTTTAGCATCAACTTACACTTAAATCTTTTCATTCACTGCACTTTAACAACACTATGACCCAGAGTAGATAGAGCGAGAGAAGAAAATGGATGAAGCAGGATTATACTGAGCCCAAACTGAAAGGACAGCCTGCAGTAGCTCATAATAAGAGAGGAGAGACGTGTTAGCATGAAAAGAAGTGCTGCTGTGGTAAATGCAGGACAAGCCTGAAACTCAGCAAGTAGGGGGTCTCTGCAGAACGTGTTGTACTGTGGGCGGAGATGGCCCAAATCATCATTGGCCAATTGGCGGGGAGCAATGGCAGGGAGTAGCTTGGTCGAGTCGGGCAGGAAGCAACATGTGTTTTAAGATTAATTTTGTTCATAACTTGAGAAAGGAAAATGCTAGCTTCACAGAATTTGAACGTCGTACATGTGAAAGGATGCGTAACAATATAGTTCGGTTAAAACACCACTAACTAGTCTGTAAAAAATTGTTGATTTTTAGTGATCTTTTTACAGGCTGGTTAGGGATGTTTTAACCAAGCCATATTGTTACACATCCTTTCACATGTACGACGTTCAAATTTTGTGCAGCTAGCATTTTCCTTTCTCAAGTTATGACCAAGATTAATCTTAAAAAACATTGCTTTTTGCCCGACTCGACCAAGCTACTCCCCGCACCGTCAATAMGACCAATCACGTCTCGGACCATCTCCGCCCACATCAAGACCTCCGCCAATCAGGAGTAGGGACGGCTCCGCCCACAGGACAAAACCTACTGCAGACCCCCGCCCTTACTCAAACTCAGAGGCAAGGCAGAACAAATACTTACAGCAACAAGTTTGAACTGGTAAAACTTGTCTTTAAAGATGTTTAAAACTTAAAAATCTGAAGATCTGACCAGGAAAATGCTACATCGAAAGAGCTACTGTTGCTCGCTAACAGTGAGTTTATTATTATTATTTTTTGTTTTGTTTTGTTTTTGTGCAAAAGACAGTTTAGTTATTTTCAACCCCCATGTGCGCCTATCTTTATAAAACCGTTTGATCAAATTAAGAACACTTTGGAGTGGCTTGATGACATACTGTTTAGAACTGCCACCTCACAGAGAGGAGGTTGTTGGTTCTCCTCCTGTGCACATGTGGGTTTTCTCCAGATACTCTGGTTTCCTCCCACAGACCAAAACTACAATGTTAGAATAATTCATATACAGTATTCCTATTATCCCACAGGTGAGTGAAAGGGTGAATGTTTTTTTCCACAATGTGTCCCTGTGATGGACTGGAGACCTGTCCAAGGCAAGGTTAGTAGTTTGAGATTTTTCATTTTAGTTTTATTTTGCTGTGACTTTTTTCTTTTAATTCAGTCAGTTTTTATTAGGTTTTAGAGTGGATTTGCTAGTTTTTAATAGTTATTGCTTTTTTGATGCTTAGATTTAATTTAGTTTTCATTAGTGCTAGTTTTGTTACAGTTTGAACAAAGTGTTTGCCAATCCATCCTCCTGCTTGAAGTGTTCCTGTAAGTTCACTCACCAGCAACTATTTGGTCACCAGTGAAAGCAGTCTAATATTGCGATGCCTTCCTAAAATAATTGCGTAACTCAATTTTACCAACAAAGGACTTGATTGATTATTTTAGGAAGGTGAAGATAGTTATCTCCATACTGGTGCTACTGGCCGAGCTGTTGCTTATCACCGGAGYTACAGAGAGAAGCTAGCTTGTTAAGATACTCAGTTAGCCGTGCTGTGTGAGCTCGATTCATAGTTTTCTCGATTGGGAAGTATTCCACCTGTTTTATCACCTGTTTCAACTACATGACGCTTGCTTTTATTTTTCTTGCAGTCATATTSAAGGAAATCCCARWTCAACATATGCAGCCTTCTCCCAACATTTGTTCTCATCATTTTGCAGACGATGATGACAACCATTAAAATGAACGACATTCTTTCTATAATTTTATTAATTTTTTAGTTTTGTAAAAATATTACACAGTTCCAGTTATTTATTTATTTTTTCATTTTATCACAGTTTTTATTCATTTTAGTCAGTTTTCGTTATTTCATTAGTTTATTAATATTGTATAATATTGTATAACCTTGGTCCAAGGTGGAGGCTCCTGCTCACAGTGATCCAGAAAAAAAGGTGGGTAAAGAAAATGTGGATGGATGGATGATGGATGGATGGATGATGGATGGATGGATGCATGGATGGATGGATTTATTGACTGATGGAAGGATGGATGATGGAAGGATGGATGGATGGATTAATGGATGGATTGATTGATTGATTGATTGATTGATTGATTGATTGATTGATTGATTGATTGATTGATGCATGGATGGATGGATGGATGGATGGATGGATGGATGGATGGATGGATTTATTGACTGATGGAAGGATGGATGATGGATGGATGGATGATGTATGGCTGGATAGATGGATGATGGAAGGATGGATGGATGGATGGATGGAAGGATGGATGGATAAAGTTCTACAAACGGAGAATAAAATGTAAAAACCAGGAAATAAAACTGACTTCAACAAGAACCTTTTTGCAGACAGTTTTATCTGCTCTTATTTTGAAGGAATTCAAACAGGATCTCTGAGCTGTGACTATTGGAGATTGGTTGACTAAAAARTTTAATTCAGTTMAGTTTATTTAYWTAGTGCCGAGTCACAACAAACATCTCAGGGCACTGTACACAAAAAATCTAAAGAAGCCAGAAGATTGTGTTGAATCTTCACTTCGTCACAGTCTCCAATCCTGAGCAGCAMAGTTTAACAGCTGAACGTCAACAAACATCATGTAAAGTTTTAATTACCGGTAATAGAAGGGCAACTCCTGTCTTTCATTGTGTTTTCACTGAACTCATTCAGGTTATTTTGTTCCACAGCTCCAGAGCTGTTTTGTACTCATTTTAGCAGCCATTCACATGTTAATGTTGTAATCTGCTGGAGATTTGTATGGGATAAATCTTGTGCCAACAGGAAGTGAATTAGAATTTCTCAGATTGAATCTGAATGCGCATCATTTGAAATTGAACGTATTGGTTTGAAAATGAATTTTACTAAATTTAAACTGAATTTAAAGTTTTGTATCTGAATTATTTTGCTTTTAAACTGTATTTTGGTTTATTAAAAATTCAGTTTGACTACTTTCACTTTCAGTTCCATAATTCAGATTTTTGTGTCTTATCCAGGTCCTTGAGAAAGCCAGGCAGAGTAACAAACACAGATCCACAGATTTATGTTTCACTTTGGTGAAGTTTCCCTTCTGGATGTAACAGAGTTGATGCAATCCACTGTAAAAGTGACAAAAACA